AATAGTAAAATCATTTTTCTAATGATCTCCTACAAAATACCTTAATCCTAGAATAGTCCTATCAAGAATTTCAACTAAATCTTCTAAAACATCCCCAAAATCAAAATTATAGTATCATAAAGGTAACACCACATACTACAAGTCATTTTAAAGTGATATCAATTCAATATGTTGTAAACTTAAACCACACATGTTATAATGCAAATTGAACTGAAGAAAGTCTAACTAACAATGCATGTATCAGCATATAAATAATTAACAACACCAAACATTTGTCCAAAAATATTTCAAATTTACAAACCTTGACAAATAATGTCCAGTACACCCAGTAAAAAGAAAATACATCAGCATCTCAATGACAATAGTAAAAACTAAGCATAAAGAAACACCATTTTTCATTCTAATAACACACAATCAAGCAATCACAATACACTCACCACTCAGATATATGAGATCTATTTGATCTCATTTATTTTAAAATTAAATTGATATATTAAATTTAATTTAAATTATTTTCAAAAGCGACCGACAATGGCCGCTCTTTCGTGTCACTGCCTCCACAACATACCCATTTCTTTAGGTCGCTGCCTCCATGCCCACCCTTTTGGGACACTACCTCAACGACTCACTCATTCCTTTGGGTTGCCTCCACCATGGGACGCCCATCCTTTTAGGACACTGCCTCCCTGATGTGCTTTAACATATCGGGATTTCCCGTCAGGATGATTTGATTATTTTTCAGGCTTCGTAAGTCAATGAATCTGTTACCCATGTGAGATCGTGAGAGACTCACTCTCCGCCCCATGACTTAGCGAGATATTTAAAAGTGTTAGAGCACTCTCATACGAAATAACCACCCTTTGATAGTCTTATGCTAGTTATCACTTCTAATGGAAGCAAAAGTCCCTTGATCAAGAGTATTCTTGGGCGACCCTAAGATGTAAATAATCAATTGGGATACATCCTCTTGGGAGCACTCTAAACTCCATAGCAGGAAAATACATTTGAATATCTGGTTGCGGGTAGTTTAAATATGTATTCTTTCGTGGATATTGGTCCAATGTGCTTCCACTCAATCTTGATTGGGCGGACATACTCGATCTATCTTTGTGAGGTTTATCGCACGTAGGCTCTCTACGTTTTCTTTCTTTTGTTTGTCTTCTTTGTCATTTGTTTGTCTTTTCTGGCTCCCCTCTTATCTTGATCATTCACATGATCTGGAAGAAATATTTATTCAGAGGATGTACGTATACAATGATAGACAAACATAATTCTTTTTAGAGAAAAATTGCATGGGGTTGTCACACTGGCTAGTTATTTATTTTAACTAATGCATATATGCCACAATATTAATATTAGGATGACCAATCTACTCAATACTACAATGATAAAATTTTCAACTCTGTCAAAGAAGTTGAGCTATAATCATACCTTGCAAACAATGAAATTTAATTTAGCCTTAAGATTGAATTTATGTCAATGAATCAATTAACCTAATCATTTTTGCAACTTTCAAGAAATTAATGAAAAGTTAAGTAAATAGAGGAAAGAACACAAACTTGAAGGGGAAAAAAAACATAATTTTTAGGGTTTCTGTTAACATCTCTAAGTATAGACACCCAAATTTTTTTTTTTTTTAAAAAGTCTATAATTTAAGAAAGTTGAACAAACTTCTAGAAAATAATAGAAGAGATTGAAATTTTGGGGATTGAAATGCAATTTTTTAGATTTTTTTTTTCATAATTTTACCTTTAAACCTCTAATATTATAAATAAAAAAAATTGGCCTATAAGTATTTATAATCACATATAATTATCTAAACCTAAATTAAATCACTTGCTTGTGATAAAGGCTCCATCATAATTTATTGTCCAAATAGCCTCAACACTTATTTCAAAGCAATTTGGCCCACCTCCTCCTCAATTATCATCATGATAACGAAATTTATATTAGGGCACAATTAAATATTTATTTTTATGAGATATACATGCAAGTCAAGGTCTCTATAATAATCTTTTTGGTAATATATCCTAAGTATTATTGTCTAACTATATATTTTACATTTTATTTTTTGGAAGATTTACATACATACCACTCAACTCTTATATATTTATAAACCTAACGCTTAAATTTTAATTTTTACATATATGGACTCTTATCTATATTGAAAGGTGTATTTCACTTTTTAAAAGTTAAAATGATGGTATTTTTTGTGGTATAAATATAAAAAGTAAAATTTAGGTGTTAGATTTATAAATACATATAAATTGGATGATGTTAGGTATGACTCATATACCATATAAGGGACAGATGTTGGAGCAGAGCGGAAGATTCTGTCCAAATCAAGAGAGTTTTCTTATGTGGGTTGGGGGTGCAGTACATGGGTAATTTGGTAATTACATATTGTACTCAAGGTTTCTTTTTCTGCTCTTTCTAGGGTTATAAATATGACTGTTTGTAACTCTAAGTTAATTCTATTATGTATGTTGTACTCTTTTTCTGGATTAGTGAAAAGCCGCCGCTCTGCTTCCTTGGATAGATGCATCTTTGCCGAACCTCGTAAATCTCTGCATGTTCTTCTAGATTTGTGTTGATTCCTGTTTTTCTTCGCTCTAATTTCTCAACAGATGGCGTGTATGTAAATTCCCTTTTTTTTATTAAAAAAAATAAAAAAAAAAGGATGAAAAACTGATTTCCACCACCATCATAATGAAATAGTTAATGCAAATGGTTGGGGGTCTTAAATATAATTTACGGTAAGTATTATGAAATACCTTACTACCTTTCATAGTACAAAGCTTTTTACATAGTGATTCATGTTGTTACAAAATAATTTATTGCAGGATTATGCTTTTTCTTAAGCCATGTGACGTGCATGTGACTATAATTCGAAGAGTAGGTTTTTATTTTCTTTTCTTTTTTTTTTATAATTTATTTTTACTCCATTTTCCTTTTTAAAAAATAAATTGAAGTTTACATATGTAGCACTCAATATTTATGAATTTACATATCTCACCTCTAAACTTCTATATTTACACGCATAACAACTTACCTATGCATGAAAAGGTGGATTTGACGGTTAAAATGTAATAATTAGTGCTTTGTGTGTAAATATGAAAGTTTTGGTGCGGGATAAGTAAATCCATAAGAATTAAGTGCTTCATATATGTAAACGCCCTAAAAAAGTAATGAGAGGTAAGACGGGACATAGAGAATAGAGAGGATATATATGACATTTTATGAAAAGTTGGTTTTAACAAGTTGAAGACTTTTTTGTGAGGACCACCATGTTGGATCCTTGGCTATGGTGGAGGCCCCTCATGGTTGCATTTGTAGAAATGACCTTTGAAATAGTTGTGTTTTATAAAGTGATGCTTCCACAATTCCATATTTATCCACCACCACCTCTCACTAAGTCACAATTATCAATGAAGATTTTAGCATATTTAAATCTAAATTTTGGGGCAAATGTAATTTCATGTGTAGGATATTGGATTAAGATTTAAAGGGTTATGTTAGTCCTAAATTTTCTCTTTAATATATTTTGGATCATAATGTAAAATCAAAATTTTAATGTTAAAATGTCACATGATTCCTAGAATAGGTCTAAATCCTTAAACAATGAAATAAGCTAAAATACAAGCATCATTTATGTCATAATTTCGCAGCACCACTATCTTGGTATGGACCATACAAATAAGTTTGGATGATGATTTGTGAGCTATTTTATATCTAGGCATCTTTGGTTGGTTGAAAAAGTAATGCAACAGTATTCTATCATATTTGAAATACTTTGGTGTTGTTTGGTTCACTGTAAAAATTGAACAGATGACTTCAATTTTTTTGTTTGAAGTCAATGAAAAATAATGTTTTTTTCTAAAAAAAATAAAAATTAATGTGTTGGTCGGGCAGTAAACGCCGAGCGCCAATAGACAGTAACACTGTGGTTGGCGGGAAATCGATGGTGGTGGTGGGAGCGACAGGCGCCGAAGGCAAGCAGTTGTGACTGCCATCGATAATTTACATGGACTTATGTATTTGAAATTCGGTCAATTTCACCAATAATAAATCGGTTTTTATTAGCTTATTTATTCGATCATTAGAGATTCGATAATTTAGAAAATCACCCTTGAAAGAAGTATAAGACTTTTATTTTCAATATTATCATCATTGATGAATAGTTTTAGACAAGTTATCTTGTGTACATTGTACTCAATTAATTCCAAGCAATATTTGTGTTGCATTGCATCCTAATATGTAAAATCTTTTTTTCTACCATTAAATAAATAAAACGGACATTTACATAAATACAACCTAATTCTTATTAATTTACATATCTAACTCCTAAAATTTGCTTTTTAAATTTACACCATCAAAATTTTAGTTTTTAAATGTAAAACATATATTTTCATATATAGATAATAAGACATATGTAAAAAATCAAAGTTTGCTGATTAAATATGTAAATATATGAGAAGTGAGTGGTATGTATGTGAATCTTCCAATATATAAACAAAAAAAAATCTTAATTATGAGAAAATAAATAAATAATATATATATATATATATATATATATATATATATATATTGAATATGTCTTATTATTTATCATTTACAAACCCAAGTGAAATTTTTTTATTTAAAATTCACAAGAATAACTACCATCTAAGTAAATATGAATATAAACCACAAAATATAAGAAAATTTACATAAATACCACATAATTCTTACATATTTCATATCAAAAATCTAAAATTTGATTATATTTATGACATTCTTATATTAAAAATTTATGCATAAAACTATGTTTTTTGTTGATTTGTACCAAAATTTTGATAGATATGAATGTAAATATGAAAATTAAGATATTACACATGTAAATATAATAGAATTGTGTGATATGTGCATAAAACTCCCCTAAAATATATTGCAAATCTTGGGCTTAAATTGGCATTGTTTCACCATTAAATTTTTTTTTCCTTCCTTAAATCCTCAAATTCTACCTTGCAAATTTTGTCGAACTTTCCCTTCCCACTTCCAATTCAGTCCGTAATCTACTCTTCGTGGACTATTAATACTCTCTTCCGTTTCCTCAACCAAAACCCTCATTCTCTCAGTTCAACGCTCGACAGTGTCTTCTTCTTCTACCCGCCTACCTTCTTTCTCCTCCTCACTGATTACTGATCAAAAGCTCCAATTTTTTTCCTTTATATTCGATCAAGATCCTTCCTTGAAGAAGGAGGAGGAGGAGGCGCCAGAAGAACTATAGAACCCTTCATCTATCTTCGTATATTAAGCTCCGACTTTAATTTAACAGAGATGGGCTTAAGCTATCAGTGCGCTTCCTCCATCCTGCTTTGTTCAGAGGACAACAGCAGCATCTTCGGCTTTGATGATGAAGAAGAAGAGGTTGAAAGGCATTGGTCTGATTCCCAACTTCAGCAAAAAAGCTGCGATCTTTATCGAGATTTCTTGATGGGATTTCCGTTGCCATCCGATGAGTGCGTGCTTCTGCTGCTGCAGAGACAGTTGGAGCATCAGCCTAAGGAGGACTATGCCCAGAAGCTCAAGAATGGATCTTTGGATGTTTCCATCAGAAGTGATGCCATCGATTGGATGCTAAAGGTAGTATTTTTAATCTTCTCTTTGTTTCCATAACTTTCCTCTTGATTTTATTCTTCATAGATCTTACTCTGATGGCTTTCTGTTCATGAACATTCCAACGGATTTTTCATTAATGATGTCGTTTTTGCATCAATCTGGTTTTCGTTTCATTAATAATAGGAATTTTTTGCCTGAATTCTGATTCTGTGGCTACAGGCTTCGTTTATTTTGTATCGTCATGTTACCTTTTATTACTATGTGTAAACTTGAAGCAATCTTTTCTTCTCTTTGCTGTCTTTTTCAACTTATTGGATATTCTAACACTGATTTCAGGTTCATGCCTATTACAATTTTGGACCTTTGAGTTCTTATCTTTCTGTGAATTATCTGGACCGATTTCTTTCTTCCTATGAGCTCCCTGTAAGTTCTCAAGTCTCTGGAAGTACTTACGTATTCTGATCATGGATAAGTATGCAAATGTTTTATTACACTTTCCTCATCAGTCATAGATCTGTAATTGTAGCAAGGAAAGGCATGGATGACTCAGTTGTTATCAGTAGCCTGCTTATCTCTGGCTGTTAAGGTGGAGGAGACTCAAGTCCCTCTGTTGCTTGATCTGCAGGTAAACAAAGAATACATATTTCACAAAGGAATGATTTTGTTTTGATTTTTTTTACATTTTAAACAAAAAACAATTATTTATTTCTATTTCCACTCAACCAAATCATTGGATCTAGCAAAATTCATTGTTTTCTAATTCATGGTTTCAATCTACAAGAAACCAAATGAACTCTAGTGTTATAAATTTGTTTGATCAATAGGTGAGTGAGGCCAAGTTTGTCTTTGAGGCCAAGACCATCCAAAGAATGGAGCTCTTATTATTAAGCACGCTCAAATGGAGGATGCACGCCGTGACACCTTTTTCATTTATCGACTACTTCCTTCACAAGCTCAATGGCGGGAATTCACCGTCCAAGCTCTTGTTATCGCAAGCAGTGGATCTCATCCTTAGCACCATTAGAGGTACTTCTTTAATCTTAAACTCATCATTTGATTCACGATCTATTAAATCAAAGAAAGCGAACCGAGTTTGACATTGAGTCTTTACTCAGTGATTGATTTCCTCGAGTTCAAACCTTCGGAAATCGCTGCCGCCGCTGCGCTATCAGCAATGACAGAAGCCCAAAGCTTGGATCTTGAGAAAGCGATTGTTTGTTGTTGCAATGTAGATAAAGTAAGATTGTTTCCTTACTTCATATGGGGCTATATTACAAGCAAAATGACTGTCAATTATGGCTGCAGGAGAGAGTGTTAAAATGCTATGAAGTGATGCAAGAGGAGATATTGATGAGTAGCTTAAAACTGAAGTATGGGATTCGATCGGTTCCTTCGATGCCTGAGAGCCCAATTGGAGTTCTGGATGCTGCTTGTCTGAGCTATAAGAGCGAAGAAATGGCTTCAGAATCTCGGCCGAGTTCTCGTAGCTCTTCTCCTGCTGCGAAGAGACGGAAGTTTAGCAGAGCTTTTATTTCACGATGAAGAGGAAGAGGTCTCCTAATCAGGTTTTTGTGCTATATATGGTGATTAAGTTTACTTTGAAAGTTGAGATTTTTTTTCTAAGAGGACTGGAAGATTTGACAAAAGAAGCATATGGATAAAGCTTGGAAAGATTAAATAGTATGATAATTGAGAATAAAGAGATGTAATTGGATTATTTGTTGATGTTCTGAATATAAATAGGGCTGCCACCAACTATATTATAAAGATAAATGGGGGAGGAGATGGAGTTGTATGTGTGCTAGGAGGATGATGGTGTGCATGAGTACTTGTTATTTTTGAGTTAATATATAATATATATATATATATTTTTTGAGATAAATGGGTAAGTTTTTTTTTTTTTTTTTTGGAGCAATTACATAGAGACCACCTGAAACTTGCTTTTACAAATCAACCATTTTGTTTCATCCATTTTTCACATTCTCACTCAAATGTCAAAAGTCATGGCAATACCCCAACCCATATTTTCTATTTTTATCAAATTCTCAATAGTTTGATCGTACCACAGATAAATATATTGGTTTGGTAGTTTAAAAAAATCACCAGTGCGGTTAATATGTAAATATCATTGTTTCGGGTGGTCTATATGTAATTATCCCTTTTTTCTTGATATAAACAGCAAAAACACTGACATAAATATTACTTCCTTTTTGTTGTGGGATAAGTTTGTCTTACTGATGCATTAATACTGCACTCACTAATTAATTCATATTTGAGTTAATCTTTACATCTAATTTAGTTAACAAAAATTTAAAAGTTGTTGTCAAACTTCTTAAATTAAATCTTCAGTTAGAAAATTTTCATATTGATTCTTATATCCTTTACTATACTCTTTATGTTTTATGCACTTATAGTTAAAATATTCCAAATATAAGATAATCATTCAGGAACAAGATGTATAATCCAGAATGAGATGATCATGTGATGTTACGCTCCATTAAAATAACTTTGTTTGGGTGAAATATCTAAAAGTTATTGAAGTATTTCACATTCATATCAAATATTGGGTGAGATATATAAAAAGATGAAGGGTTAGCATGAAATACTGAAAGATTTAGGTATTAATTTGCTTATTTAACAGGACATCAACTTTCACGTAATTAATTGGCAAAACATCAATTTAAATGTGAATCTATTTGGGGAATAGCATTTGACTTTATGATAATAAATTCATGCTGTGATTTTGGTGCTCATCATCCAATCATCAACTTGTTTGACTTATTTCTTAGGGTTTATGGATTTATGATGTTTGTGATATTTATTGTGTTTATTGCCTTAAATTCGCTTAAAAGTCTGCCAAAATAAATTCACATTGTGAATTTTGCACTCATTGTTTGATTGTTATCACGCCTAAATTTACTTCTAAGTCCTTCAAAATAATAATAATTATAATGATAATTAAAAGGTTATTATTGGCATTAAAAAGGAGACATTGGTAATTTGATAGAGAGTTGAGCATTGAAGTGGGTTTTGGTTTTTCAAGTTGGGTCAGTGGTGGGCTTCCTCATTTCCTTCTTGGAAGTTTGAAGTTTTTTAGATTAAGACTTTTCAGAGGTTTGTATAATTTTTAATGGATAATTATTGTCTCTAGCATTGGCCCCCAGTGATTCATTTGGATATGGAATTTCTTTGCTCAGTGGGCTCTCAATTTCTTGTCCAGCTAAGGCCCAAAAAACCATTCATTAAAGGCCTATTGGTGCATGTATGTATTTATGGAATAATATGGTTTTTATATGATTGATTTTTTTTTTAAAGCATGGAGCATTATTGATAAGTCAAGATCATTCAGCCTAACTTATCACATCCTTAAAATAGTTATTATAATACTACTAAAATTTATGATAATTTGGTTATTCACCAAATTTGTTAGATGACATTCTAATGAATAATCTAGATAATGAAATGAATAATTTATTTATTTTATGATGTAAGACTATAGGGATATTTGGTTGGGGTCTAAATTAAGCCTACTAATCTTGACAAAGGCGAGCCTTTAATTTTATCTAACTTATTTAGTTGATAAAGAAGGCTGATGTTGATCAAAGATATGTTGAGAAAATTTATTTGATTACATTTTGCTTTAGATTGACTTGTTTAGCATTGAAATTTTTATAGAGCGTGTTATCCTCAATTAATATTATTTAATCATTAACTAAAATCATCATAAATTCCTTTAAAAATATCACAATTATCTTCATAAGAACATTTTTTTATAATTAATTTTTTACTATTATAAGTAATTGAGAAATTAACTATATTGTATAATATAAACTAAAGATCTTATTAATAATATTATAATATTTTTTAAATAATTTATTGATACACCATTGAAAACTTCATCTTCTTCGAGATTTCTTATCATTTATCTTCTTTTTTGGATTAGTTAAAACTTAGACTTAGTGGACTAGAGTTGTGCATCCTAAGGCCTTAGTGGTTTTGATCAACATGAAAACCAATGAGCTTGACTATCCTATGCATATAAATTGAGTCAATCTTAAACTTATAGACAATTGATCCAAGCATGTATGCTAATTTAGTCAACCATAATAATGGGACCATAAATCAAAATGAATGACCTAAGCGACTTAAGAAATAGTTTAATAACTCTAAAACCTCAAACCCTAGTGAGCTATAGAGATTAACCTAGATTGTTCTCAAGTTTATCCTAATGAATCTCTGGACCACCAAAAGTACACTCAATCATCACGGAGACAATTTAGGTCAATACGTTCCACTCTATCTAAACTTAATCAAACTTATTCAAACTTTGTGAACTTAACATTTGGCGCACTCAGGCTCAACCTTGGGTCACTTAGTAAGGAAATTGAACCCCATGCTAGCCTAAGGTCAATTTGATCCTATTACAATCAACCCATCTAAACTAAAATTGTTATCGAGCTCTATGTGTTAAACTTATGAAACCTTTAGCTAGAGCTCAAATTACAACTCATATAAGTATGAGTTTGAGCTTAACCCAACTTAGCTCATTCGGCTCATGAGCCTATTCAATTAAATTTTGTTTGGGCATTTTACTTTGCACTATGAGTTTAACCATAACTTTTTATTCCATTGATTCCTCTATACTTATGCTTCCTCTTCTTTTTCAAAAATTGTTATATGTCTCATGAATCAAAACTCTTGGCATTAGCAAGTTTTGACATCTGTTCTTCATGGCTTCCTCTTCCTCTTCATCTTCAAACATTGTTGGTTCTATCTCCATTGTGCTGCCATCATGATTTCATCTTCTTTTCTTTTGATTTCTCATCATGGGGAAGCTTTGAACTCTCATCTGCACTGAGCTGCCATCATGACTTTCTCTTCTTTTCTCCTTCAAACCTCATTGGTCTCAACACAACTTTCCCTTATTTTTTTCATCAATTTCTCATTGTTCTTAAGCAACGTCTAACTCACTAGTCTAACATATTTGATGGATTACAATTTTGAAAATTAGATTGCATAGAATAATTCAAGTAAGCTTTAGTGATTAGAATAATTCAAGTAAGCTTTAGTGATTCTATTTAGGGTTGATGATAATTAGAATTGTTATGTGTCGGATAATTCATGGAAGTAGAGTTTCTTATAAATGGTATCATAGCATTATACCAGTTAGAAGATGAGAGCTAAGTGTCATATGAAATAAAGTGCTACACTATGTGAGCCACTTCTTGAACCCAAGATGGGAGAAAGTGCTACATGGTGAGAGCCGCCTTTAGAATTTGTAGGGGCACCTCTAGAATCATTCTACCATGTGGATGATTCTCGGTTTAGAGCATTGATGAGGAAGTTAATTACTTTAGTTGGGGAGATTGTGAAATCCCTTAATTAGAATGAAGTAGAACTCTTGAACATCAATGTGCTTTTTGGTGTAACGGTTGGAGTTTCATCAAAAACTTCAAAATATTAAGCGTGCTTGTGCTGGAGCAGTCTTAGGATTAGTGATCTCTTGGGAAGTTACACCAATGGGGCAAGATCGTGCGGCCATTAGGCCAAAATGAACAATATCTTGATGGGCGAGTGTTTAGGTTGTTACAGAGTTATATCTATATCTCAACATTCTTCAAAAATCTCGCACACATAGATAAAGGGAGAGCTAATAAAGTGGGCATCAGGGGTTGTTAACATGAAAAACCTAAAAGAGAAAAAATCGTGAGACCTAGCACAGTTAAATGATTCCACTATTCATATGTATGTTTTAAGACTTTGTCTGCCTTTGAACTACATAAATGAGAAATCAACTTAATTTTCATTAAATGAGTGGCAAAAAATGGTATAAGTGATGGCAACTCAACTACGCTAATGAAAGACTGATGGCATGGAGCGTGTGACGGAGATATGGATTCATTATCACTAATGGTGGTGGCTGCTAGACAATAGTGTTCTAACAATAGTAGTGGAGATAACCAAGCGAAAACAATCTAACGATGGGGCAATAGTTGTCCACTTATAACAATTGTGGTCTAACAATGTTGGCTATAGAACAGTGATCTAGCAACGACATTGGCTGTGAGATGGTGATCTGATAATGACGGAAGTGGCAACGACATCGTCTTTTGTCAGGCTACGACGGTTGCAGTGGTGATCAAATAGTGGCCCGCAATAGTGATGGCAGTAGCATCATTAATTGTGATGATTGTTTGATAATGGCGCTATATCATGATGACGAGGATGGTTGCTAGATGGCACTGATCTGGTGGCAGGTTGTAGATGATGACCCGACATAGTGACAGTCGAGAGATGATAATCTGGTGATGGTGATGGTGGTTCGACAATGTTAACCTGGCGTCGAAAAAGGCGGTCCGACGACGATGGTCTGATGATGTCATGGGAGGCTCGACATCGGTCGGGTTATGTTCTGGCAACAGTGGCCTACGGATAGTGATATGGTATAGTGGCGTCCAACCAACCTTGATCTAACATAATGGCAGTCAGAGTGATGATTTTTTGGTGAATGGTAGTCAAAGTGACGATGATTTGATGATGGTTATGGCAGTCTGATGCGATCGCTTGGCGACATCAGCCTAATGGCAGTGGTCTGACGATGTTGGTGGTTTGACATCAGTTGGATGATTGTGGTCATGTGGCGTCAGCAGCCCGGTGACTATGGCATGAGACGACAGTAGTGGCTCATCATAGGTGATCCAACACGATGACAGTTATCTCGCAATGTTAGCCTGGTCACA